AAATACCAACAAATGAAATTTCATTGTCCTGTAATAAGCCCACCCCTGATTTGAGAAATTATGTGTAGGCCTCCCTGGTTGTATTGCTGGATAAATACAGTACATTCCTAGGTACATGTGGTAAATCTACAGGTTACAAGGGAGATACATGTAAGTCATACAACTTTTGTTTTAACATTAAATGTACAGGTATACCTTAATTTAGCTCTTTCTTTGATTTCCAGGTCTGTTTGATATCCACACCAAAGGACAAACACCTTACAGCTGTGGCAGTATCAACGACAATCATGGCTTCCAGCTCCTGGAGGCCTTCCACTTCGCCCTGGAATACGCTAACAACCGTACTGGTATTTTCCGTAATGTGTGGCCAGAGGTCACATTTGGCGGTGTAGCCCTAGATGTTTGTCAAAATCCAACGCGTGCTGGAAATATGATAGCGAACATCCACTCCGGAACATTGAAACTGACGACTATGTCTCAGAGCCAGAACATTACCATCAACCCTGACAATATTGATGTCTATATCGGCGCATTTGACACCGACTCATCAATCCGGGTGGCAGACATTGTGAATCCGCTGGGAATTCCTCAGATCAGCTATGGTTCCACGAGCCAGGAGCTGATGGATCAGTACAAATACCGCTACTTCTTGCGTACTGTTCCCGCAGATGACAAGCAGGCTAGGGCCATTATTTCCTACCTGAAGAGGTTCGACCTAAACAACGTCCAGGTCATTACATCCTATGACAGCATTGGTGTGCACAGCAAGGAGGAGTTTGCTCGTCTGGCCAGACTCAACAGGATCTGCATATCCCAGAACATCACCACTGGTGTCAGCGGCTCGATCTCCGTCATTGAAGCACACACCACTCTCAACAAGCTTTTCTCCTTCCGAGACGCTACAGTCGTGATCTTGTTTGTCCAGGACCCGGAGACGCTGTTACAGTCGATTGAGAATAGAGATGACGTAAGGAATAACTTCACCTTTATCGGTACAGACAAGCTTGGTTTCAACCATGAGAAGTGGAACAATGCGCGTAAGCTGATGAATGGTCGCCGTGCTGTAACGTTTGACATAGAGACGGCAGATGTGCCAGAATTCGACAAATACCTGGAAAACAAAAATCCTGAAAATTATTTCTTTAACCCATGGTTTGATGACTATTACCAGGAACTGTTTCAGTGTAACTTTGATGGTAGGAGCACCAAGTACCCAGAACCATGCCCGACCCATCTTTTAGGAATTCCCCGTGCTGAAGGCTACATCCAGGACCCCTACGTTTTGTACGTCATCAATGCAGTGTTTTCTGCTGTATTTGGCGTGGACAAGGCACTGCGCGAGATCTGTCCCAGCAACAGCATTGGAGTATGTAACCTCTTCCGAACCAGCGGTGAGCGAAGACAACGAATCATGACTGGAATCCAAGCCACTAACTTTGTTGATGCCACGCAGCAGCCGTTCTTCTACGAAGAGGGAGGAGACAGTAGTCGTGGTTACAAAATTTGGGAGCCCCTGCCTAGTGCGGAGGACAACACACAGTATTATCTTGAAGATGTAAGTAATTAAACAGTTGATTCAACGTTCCCCCCACCTCTGGTTACTTTCCCCATCATTCAACCTCCACTCCAACCCCACGCTTTCACCCCTTCATTTACCGATAACTCCTTCCCGCATTCAACCTATAGCCTCGTCTCAAACTCCCTTATCCAACCATTCAATCCCTCCCCTATACAACACCTAATATATACCCCATTGCATTCAACTCAAAACTGAATTCCCTTTCCACTCCCCTCTACCCATCAATACCCATTCCCACTTCATAATAATGTTTCCCATATTCAATACTGATTCCCCCTCATTCAAAACTTTCTTGACATATATCTACATTTCAGAAACAACAACCCATACATTCCGTTTTAAACGATTCCAAATCCTCAAGCTTTGCTCCTGTTTTGACTGCGATGGTAATTCCTGTCATTGAAGTCCTTGTTTAACATGTACATTGTGTCTATATTGATATCATGCGAGGTGAGGATATCCTCTGTGAGGTGAGGACATCCTCTGTGAGGTGAGGATATCCTCTGTGAGGTGAGGATATCCTCTGTGAGGTGAGGACATTCTATGTGAGGTGAGGATGTCCTCTGTGAGGTGAGGACGTCCTCTGTGAGGTGAGGACGTCCT